ACAAGCTAATAATATGTTGGGGAAAAAAATTAATATTTTTTGAAAGCGCACTGTTTAGAGAATATATATAAGAATGAGCTAGTTTCAGTGGTCTGCAAATCGCGGCTCGCGAGCCACTTACGGCTCTTTAGAGACCTGAGTGCGGCTCGGCCAGATGTCCACAAATCGGTTTCGACTCCGAAAAACATGGTTCTTGACAGGTTCTTGAAAAGAAATGTGGCTCTAATTTTTTTTTAAAATCGTCCTGCTGCAGATTTTTGGCTCTTTTGCCGAATGAGTTTGCCGATCCGTGAGCTAGGCTGACCATAACGTCAAAGAAACGAAGCAATTTCAATGCGTTCAGATTCTTAAAAACAATAATAGTGAATTTATATTATTTTACAAAAAAAACGAATAAATGGGAATGGGCAAAAAAAAATATATAAGCTTTAATTTTAGAAAATGTTTAAGTATTATTATAAGTGGCGTAGCTGGGGGAGCGGGGGGTTTCGGACCGCACCTGGCATCACCATCCCAGGGGGTGACAGCAGATTGAAAAAATGCATATTCACAGAGCACAGACTACTCGGCCTACTGAAATTCATAAAAGGATAACCGATTACATGTAAATTTTCCACTCATATAACTAACCAAAAATGCGTGATTTACTAAAATGTTGATGCGTCATAAATGAGTTGCAAGGTCCGGCAGATAGGACAGTTCCCCGGGGTTCAATGTGCTTAGGGTGCCAGTAACGATCTTCCAAAATAGGCAAAAGCACTGCATGGAAGAAGAAAATAGAGAGTGGATTAAAAAGATTTGCTGACCTAAGGGCTAGAAAAAAATCTCATTGGTAGGCTAATTGTTCATAATGTCCAAATACAAGTTCAGAAAAACAATATTAGTGTTCACTGTTTGATACAATTTTTTTTTTTAAACCGAGGTGATAAACTCATACCTTACCCAATCCCTTGTTTTTTACTTGCAAAAAATTATATGATTATCATTAAAAGGGGCACCAAAGTTTAGCTTGCCCGGGGCGCCAGGAACCATAGGGTGATAAGGTGACCCTATAACTAGGTCAGAAAAACAGCGTTTTAACCAAGATTCAACGCCAACTGTCAGGTAATTTTCGTAAGCGACAGGAAGCTACATGTATCTAAAGTTTGAGGAATAAAGCTTTTCATTGATACCAAAAAACTAATTACATAACAACATTGTTGTGCTGTCGACTTATTTTAACAAGAAGAAATCCATCGTGGAAGTCGGTGAGAGGGGGGCGATACCATGAGTTTGCCGCACCTGGTGACAGCAGCCCTAGCTATGCCCCTGAGTTTGCCGCACCTGGTGACAGCAACCCTAGCTATGCCCCTCAGTTTGCCGCACCTGGTGACAGCAACCCTAGCTATGCCCCTGAGTTTGCCGAACCTGGTGACAGCAACCCTAGCTATGCCCCTGAGGTTGCCGCACCTGGTGACAGCAACCCTAGCTATGCCCCTGAGTTTGCCGCACCTGGTGACAGCAGCCCTAGCTATGCCCCTGAGTTTGCCGCACCTGGTGACAGCAACCCTAGCTATGCCCCTGAGTTTGCCGCACCTGGTGACAGCAACCCTAGCTATGCCCCTGAGTTTGCCGCACCTGGTGACAGCAACCCTAGCTATGCCCCTGAGTTTGCCGCGCCTGGTGACAGCAACCCTAGCTATGCCCCTGAGTTTGCCGCACCTGGTGACAGCAACCCTAGCTATGCCCCTGAGTTTGCCGCACCTGGTGACAGCAACCCTAGCTATGCCCCTGATTATTATTATAAATTATAAACCCATTTTAAAATAACAAGTATGGAACTATTTTAAGTATTTTATCTGAGTTTGAAAGTTATACAAAATTATGATCTAAGATTTAAATCGCAAAAACATTTATCTGGAAAACCCAAAATCTGATATTTTTAGTGCGTTGTTAATGTTGCGAAAGAAAACTAAAATTAATTAAATCTAAATAAATACGCAAACGACATCATAGCGTGAATTGCCTATTTTAGCCAAAGCTCTAAGTTTCTTTGATTTCATAACCGCGAGTGACTAAACTGATAATGCATTTTCCCCTTTCTTTGATTTCATAACCGCGAGTGACTAAACTGATAATGCATTTTCCCCTTTCTTTGATTTCATAACCGCGAGTGACTAAACTGATGATGCATTTTCCCTTTCTTAAAAGTAAAATTAATACATATAACCGATTGCTTTTTAAATTGTAAAATGAAAGACAGAAAATTGTAGCATTATATTTTTAACCTTTAATACTTTTCTTCATTCTATTCATTCCAAAAAAAATATATATATTTTATTAAATTTATAAAGTAATAAAAACTTAACCTTTAAATATACTTTTAATAAGAGAATGCCGTATGAGTCAATCACCGCACGCAGCGACACTCCTCTTATCACACATCCGAATAAGAACAAACAATAAGAAGTGCAAAATGTGTGTGTTGGCTCATGTAGGTTAGCTACAAACCATGGATGATTTTATTACTTTTTATTAAAATCTGGGGGGGGGGGGTTAAATACTTCTGGGTATAAAGCTACGACATGACCGCGCAAGATACCCCTCAGAATAAAGGAATGATTTGATATATACCGTATTTATTGGCGTATAATGCGCACTTTTTCTCCCCGAAAATAGGCGGCAAATCATGTGTGCGTGTTATACGCCGATATAATGGTGTTGTTTTTTCCCCTGAAATTTCCTCCTTAAATTGAGGTGCGTATTAAACGCGAATAAATACGTTAATTAACCTTCTAAGGTACCTAATAGATCAGGGGTAGGAAAAGGGTGTGTACATTTTTACAATATCTTTAAATCCAATAATATTACAGTTGTACAAAAAAATAGATTTTACATTCTTTTTTTTATATTTTTTTTATTTTTTACAAATAACCTTTTTTTTAAACCAATGAAGAAAATCGATGGCGTTAACGAAACGTGGGTAATTTTATTTAAGTATACCCAGACGCGTAGCGATGGGGGGTGGGGGCAGTGGGGGACAGATGTCCCCGGGCGCAAGCTAGTTAGGGGCGCCAAAATGTGATTTGATATTATATTATTGGTAAAAAATAATGGGTTTGAGAGTTGAAAAAAAGAAAAGGGGGCGCTTTAAAATGGATCTTGTCCCCGGGCGTGAATCTTGTCCCCGGGCGCCAAACACCCTCGCTACGCCACTGAGTATACCCAGGAATATCAAAACCCAATCATTTTACACACGTGAAGATTTAATTTTGAAGAAATAGAGTTCGGTTAAGATTTTATTTTTACTTTGCGAAAAGTGAAGCGGGTATATATTGTTATGAGATTAATACTATTTCTTAAAAAAAAACAACACTCAAGGCTGTTACAGACGTGAAAAACTGTTAAGAAATTCTTCTTGAGATACACAATTTCTTTGTTCTACGATTTTCCGATAATAAAGTAGAAAACTAAGTACAAGTTTAGTTCAATTTAAATGAAGTGATCGGTACATCATATTCTGTTAAAATAAATTACATTTTGTTTTTGTAAATTTAAGGTCATGTTTTAAATATGTTAGAGAAAGGGCGCAAAAGTGGAAGGGTAGGCGGATAATATATAGCAGGTAAATATTTCTCAAAACTGAATGATTTCAGAAAAGTAAACATCATTACATATATACTTTTTTTTTTTTTTTTTTTAAAAAAATTTTAATTATTTTTTCCCAAATAAAGGGAAAAAAAAAATAAAAAAACTCCGCGGCCCGATACGTCGGACCGGGGAGGGGTAATTTGGGGGGGGGGGGGCATAAGAGTCTAGACTCGCCCTGCTGACGCCATTTCTTAATGTAACATCCGCCCCCCCCCCCCCCTTTTTTTTTTTTTTTTTTTTAAAGAATTTTGATGATTTTTTCCGCAATAGCAGGTAGAAAAAAATCACAAAATGCCTGCCATTGTTGTTCCGATAATTGCGTCATTATGTTGTAGTATAGAATAAAGCTTTATTTAAAAAAATCTATCTAGCACCGAACAAAAGCGCACATAAAGCCTTTCTTTAATAGATATGTTTGAAGGCGCACCGTTATAATTGCGTACACCTAAAATAACTTAACTTGAACGTCCCTCAAACTCAAAGCCAATTTAAAAAAAAAAAAAAAAAAAAAAAAACTTAAACCCTGTCCTCTCTCAATTGAACCATTTTTTAATTACAACTTTTGGGAAAAGTTTAATTGATCCCAAATTTCCAGGAACCACGAATAGGTCAGGAGATATGACGACCCGTATCCGGAAATTTGATCGAAAGAAATTCCGTCGACGGAAAATTGATCGACGGAAATTTGATCGAACGAAAATATGACCAAGTCGAGTTAGGTCGCGATCCATTGTGTGGTTTTCTTGTTATAAAGTATGAACATTAAAATATATACATGCAAAAAAAAACAACAACACCATAGCCATGGTGATCTTCGTATAAAAGGGATGATTGTCATTTCTGAGACCGGAAACAGTCAAATCACATTACGTAAAATTATTATTTTTAGATAATTTGTTCGTTAAAAAATAGACTCTAACAATGTATTTCAGCATATATATTATACATATATATATATGGGTGTCTGGGGATATAACATATATACAGCAGTAACAAACTGTAAAATATTTCATAAAGTAAATCTGTAAACACGTTTTCACCTAGGTTAAGACTCAATATTCATGCTCACATTAGCGTAGAAGTACCGAACAGCTGTTGAGAGATTGGCCAAATAGAATACCAGGGTGATTTATTAATATTTAATGAGATTGGCCAGACTGTACGCCCCGATGTTCTATTGATAGATTAACGCCATTAAATGACAAAACCTATAGATTTCAAAATAGACATCAACTAATCTAAGGATGCTCCGAATGGAAATGGAATTATGTCATAGAAGTGTACAGTTAAATCTGTAATTTAAAAAAAAAAGAAAATGTTTTGTTTTGTTTTTTTTCAATCAGGATGATCGCATCGTGCTGTTGTTGACAGCCCTGCCCAGTCTCTTGTGCCAAGCATACCTCAGTATCTCGTTACCCTACAGATTTGTGGTCGCTTGTTACCGGGGTAATTTCTTTACCGCTTCAACGAAAACTCATGAACGCTTGATCGATATCAGAGATTCCTTTCAAGGCAGGCACGTCCGGAACTTATTGAAAAAACCAGAAATCATAAAGTAAGTGCAAGTTTAAAACAACTGATGTGGTGGCATAGCTTTATCAGTTCACTAATAAACGAATCAATTTTGATCAATCAATGCTGAAGCTTTTTAAAGAGTTTTTTTTTTAAAACAGATTTTTTTTTTCTACTTCATACCGATAATTTCTAAGTCAAAAACATTTTTCTCGGTGCGGACCACAAAGACGTCACAAGCCCACAAAGACGTCACAAGCCCACAAATGACTCTTTGCTCCGAAGCTGTTTCTTTCTACGCTGTATTTTGAAGAGACTATGGCGTCTATCATCGCCTCAAATTTCTGCGGTCAGGAAATAAATAAACATAACATATCTTGAAGATTATAAACATATCTTGAAAAAAAAATAACATATCTTGAAAACATAATATAAATAATACAAAAATCTATAAATCCATTAGGGTATTGTAAGAAAGTTAGCAAACATTAATTTGTTTGAAAACACTTAACTGGTATTCCGGTTATTGTTTAGAAGCAAATAGCGAAATAAAGTGTGGGGAGCCTGAAAAGGTGGCGGAACAATACAACAAACGTATGGGCAAGAAGCCTTCTTCAGCGAACAAACGACAGTAAAAACTATATATATATTTTTTTTTAAACTTGGCTGCAATGTCCGAGAGGACAGAGAGAGGAAAGTGATGTTATTGTTAAACAGCCGCAACAGAACCGTTGGTCTAATCTAGCTTTTCTTTTATTTCAGGCCAACAGTTGGCATTGGCAATAAAATCAAATCAGTTATTGAGAACAAAATTGTTGTTTTGCTCTACTCGCGGCAGGAAGGTGAGTACAGGATAGGTCTAGATAGGTAAAGGTGTGTCTACATTGGTCTAGATAGGTTTAGCTTGATCTAGATATGTCTAGTAAGTTTTAGAAAGGCTAGCTAGGTCTACATAGTTCTAAAGAGGTCTAGATAGGTCTATAAAAGAATGCATAACCATTGGATAAGTTTAGATAGGTTTATATAGGTATACATATGTATTACGTGTTCTAGATAGGCCTAGATCTCCGTCACTCTCTTTACAATGAGTCTTGATATCTGTTACTCTCTTTGATTTCTTGTTTTAGATATATGTCACTTTTTATGTATAGATCGGTCTAGATATCCGTTATTTTCTTTGTATTACTAGGTCTAGACAACAAGTCTAGATATATCCTTCCTTCTCTTTGTAATACCAGGTCTTGATATCCATCCATCTCTGTGTATTATTAGGTCTCGCTATCATCATTTTCTTATTATTACTAGGTCTAGCAATCCATCCCTATATTTATATTAATAGGTCTAGACATCCGTTCCTCTCTTTGTATTAATAGGTCTATATATCCGCCCCCCCCCCGGGGTCCTGGTCGAGCGCCCAGGCGGGGGACTTGGGTGAGGGGCCCGTGTGGGGGCCGTCCTGACGAGTGGGCATCTCCAAGTGCCGCTCCGCGGCCCGATACGTCGGACCGGGGAGGGGTAATTTGGGGGGGGGGGGGCATAAGAGTCTAGACTCGCCCTGCTGACGCCATTTCTTAATGTAACATCCGCCCCCCCCCCCCCCTTTTTTTTTTAGGGGAGGGGTAATTTGGGGGGGGGGGGGCATAAGAGTCTAGACTCGCCCTGCTGACGCCATTTCTTAATGTAACATCCGCCTCCCCCCCCCCCTTTTTGTATTACTAAGTATACTAATACGGGCATATTTCGTAGATGCAATCGTGTCACTCAAAATAGTTATTTGATATCATAACGGAATAAACTAACGGAGATTGTAAAAAAAAGGGAGGTTTCAAATACAAATGTGCACAAAAGTAAATTAAAAATAATTAATCTTATATTATTCTCTGCGACAGAAACAATCTAGGCATTTTATTCAGTGAGTCTCGCAATAAGTAAATTGTTCCATCTTAGAAATCATCTATCAACTCGATGTATTTGAATTGTTTTACAGGCTTCCGGTATCCGTCCAGGTTTATTTCAGTAATGTTCATTGGAGGGATTGTTGTCTATGTGGTAAGTTGTGTTGTGTATGTTGGGCATGTGGTAAGTTGAGTGATGGTTGTTGGGTATATGGCAAGTTAAGCTGTGTATGTTGTGTATATGGTAAGGTTAGTTGTTTATGTGGTAAGTTTAGTTGTGTATGCGGTACGTTTAATTTTGTATGTTGTGTATAAGGTAACTTGAATTGTGTATGTTGTGTATATGGTAAGTTGAGTTGTGTATGTTATGTATTTGGTTAGTTGAGTTGTGTATGAATGTGTTAAGTTGTGACTTGAGAGTGGTAAGTTGTGTCTTTAGGTTGGTAAGTTGTGTCTTGAGTGTGGTGAATGTGTGTATTGAAGGCGGTAAGTTTTGTATTGAGTGTGGTAAGTTGTGTCGTGGGTGGGGAAAGCTCTGTCATAAGGAGTGTAGTAAGCTGTATCTTCAGTGTGGTATTATGTGTCATGTGTGTATAGTAAGTTGAGTTTTGAGTGTGGTCAGTGGTAAGTTGTGTCTTGAATGTGGTTACCTGTGTTTTGAATTTTTTAAAGCTTTGTTGTTAATGTGGTAATCTATGTCTTGAGTGTGGTAAGCTGTGTCGTGAGTGTGGTAAGCTGTCTTGAGTGTGGTAAGTTGTGTCTTGAGTATGGTAAGCTGTGTCTTGAGTGTGGTAAGTTGTGTCTTTAGTTTGGTAAGTTGTGTCTTGAGTGTGGTAAGTTGTGTCTTGAGTATGGTGAACTGTGTATTGAGTGTGGTAAATGTGTGTATTGAGGGATGTGTCTTGAATGTGGTTTGTTTTGTCGTGAGTGTCGTAAGTGTGTCGTGAGGGGGGTAAGCTGTGTCGGGAATGTGATTACCTGTGTCTTGTTATAAGTTGTGACTTTACTGTTGTAAACTGTGTCATGATTGTGACAAGTTGTTTCGTGGGTGTGTTAAATTTTGTTTTTAGTGTGGTAAGCTGTGTATTCAGTGTGGTATTCTGTGTCGTGAGTGTGGTAAGGTATCTTGTGTATTTGGTAAGTAAATAAGTTGCTGTTGTAATATTTTTAATTTGGGGGGGGGGGGGGGAATTATATAAAAGTATTAAGTTTCCCTTTTATGTTTCAAATGCAGTTGTGCGTGCTACTAGTTCTACGACATGGAAATCGGAGATTATATTCAAAATGTATCATTAAGTGATATTCTGACCTTTGTTTCCCTTAGGGACTTGAGATAATTTTTTTTTTTTTAAATATTTTCTTTTCGGTCATTTTTCAGGTAAATGTACGACATAAATTTGTTATATGTACAACTCAGATGTAATTGAATTAATTCTTTTTTGATGTACCGATGAAGGCATTTGCCGAAACGTTTGAATTGGTATAGTTTTTAATCACTATCATAGCTACGCATGTATATTTTTAAATTTACATAAACTGGTTATCTCTAAATAATCTACTTAAAAAGTTATCGCAGCCAAACCCTCTTATAATTAGTTTATTATTTGGTGGGCGTTGTTGTTTTATTGTTTTATTTTTTACATCCCAACAAATTATCATTAAATTTTATATCAGTTTTATGAAGCGTTCACATAAATTAAAACTTAACTCTTTTATGAAGCGTTCACATAAATTAAAACTTAACTCTTTTATGAAGCGTTCACATAAATTAAAACTTAACTCTTGTGCAATTTGGCTCACATAACCATATATATTGATGTCATTAAAGAATATTAGGTACCCATCTATGTTAATTCCTTAACAGAGACATAGAGACAGGTTCGGGGTTAGCAAGTGGTCTTCGTCAGAAAATGTTTCGGCTTGCGACACATGATCAAGTGAAAATGTCATAGAGTCTATATCATCACCTTGCCATCAATAATTTATTTTCCTTATTGGTTAGATACAAAAAAAAAAAAATTAAAATAATAATAAAATAATATGTAAAAAAATAATAATAAAAGGTGTCCGACGTTCAAAGGTCCTCCTGATGGAAAACGAGGCCCCAAAAACGTACTTATCCTGTCTCCTCATACAACTTTGCTTTTATGCCCCTCCCTCGCTCCCCCACTGTACAGATGTATTCATCATTAAAGTACATCTTTATATCTTATACATAATGTATCCATCATTAATGTACACATCCATATCTCATATATAATGTATCCCTAATTAACGTACACATCCAAATTTCATTTATAATTTATTCATCAGTAATGAACACGTCCATGTCTTATATACAGGCTACCATTAACTTAATGTCTGAAACGGTAATTGGCATCGGTCCATTCGCTGATTTCTTAAAGAATGTGTTTGATGATGTCGGCCAGTCAGACAATATTGTCGTGCGACTTTTTTTGGTATTCTATTGTAAGTAAACATATCTTTCAGTGTTGTGATGTCATCTGTATTTGACCTAACTGTGCTATTTTACTGACCAACCCTTCATTAATAATATTAATAAAAATAAAGTTTATTTGAAAATTACGCTTCATGCCCAAAGGCTCGAAGCGCGGTACAGAGTCTAGTATATTAAAAGCGAAATGAAACAATCTATGATATACCACATTGAAATACAAAATGCAACATTGCAAAAAAACTATATACGAGAATACACATTCCAAGTCTTTCATACCTAACAACCATAAACAACACAGGCCAATACACATCTACAAGATAATAGCTAGATAGACAACTTCATCCCAGCAGGTGTTTGCGAAATCGATATGTCTTCAGATCAGTTTTGAAATACTCCAGTGACTGGAAGAGTGTTCCGAATTGTTGGGCCATCAAATGCGAAAGTACGCCCCTTGTAAGTCTCAAGGCGAACACGTGGTATCGAGAGTTTGCCACTATCAGATGAGCGGAGTTGTCTAGTGGGTACATAAGGCGTCAGTAGCGCTTTGAGATAGGACGGTGCCAGGTCATGCACGCAGCGGTAGCAGGGAGTTGCTATTTTGTACTCTATGCGAGCGCGGACCGGCAGCCAATGTAACTCTCTCAGAAGTGTTTTAGCATGGTCGAATTTGCGTTTTCGAAAAACAGTGCGAGCCGCTTTATTCTGTGCTTTTTGAATTGTGGTAAAACTTTTAATGTAACGTTTTAGAGTTTGGAAAAATCGCTCTGGAATAAATTATTTTACAAGCAATCTAGATGAGGTTGTGTTTCGTGTCAAATACAGGCCCGTTCTTAGACATACGGTGACTAGCATCCACGTAGGGCCCCGAACATGAGGGGGCCCCCGTGAGGCACCCTCAATCCCCCGTTTTTTTTTTAAAACTGGCACTGCAGCTGTCTGTGTCACTCACGTTACCTTACTCATCCTGAAATTTATCATTCTGAGTTAAATTCGGAGGCAGGGGAAGGGAAACAGCAGGGGGGAGCTTTGGGGGAGGCAGACAGGAAATCGGGGGCTTGGCCGTGGGAATGGGAAAGATGAATTATTGATGAAGGCAAAATGGAGGTTCCGCAGAGGTGGGTGGTGTTTTCTCCTCAGCTCGTGGGAGCTGCATCCCTGGAAGCCCCCCTTCCGGGGCCCCCAACCTACGCTCCATGCTTAGGACCCCCAAACTCCTAAGAACGGCTCTGTCAAATATAATGTAGATGAAGTTGGGTGTTTAAAGTAATCTAGATGAAGGTGTGTGTTAAAAGTAATCAAGATGAAGTTGTGTGTTAAAAGTTAACTAGATGAATTTGTTTGTTAAAAGTAACCTAGATGAAGTGGTTTTGTTAAAATATGATTAAAAAGTGGGTTCCATAAAGCAATGATTGAAATACTGGGTTCCATGAAGGAATGATTGATATAGTGGGTTCCATAAACCAATGGCTATGATTGAATCAGTGGGTTCCATAAAGCAATGATTGAAATAGTGGGTTCCATAAAGCAATGATTGAAATAGTGGGTTCCATAAAGCAATGATTGAAATACTGGGTTCCATGAAGGAATGATTGATATAGTGGGTTCCATAAAGCAATGGCTATGATTGAATCAGTGGGTTCCATAAAGCCATGATTGAAATAGTACAAACTCTACCGATAAAGGAAATTTTGTTACCCTTAGTTTGTAGTGTCAAAGCACCTAATACCAGGGCCGTAGAAAGAAATGCTGAGCCAGGGGCAAAGCCTGAATTTGGACAACCTTTTCCCAAAAAGTGTAAATTAATGCACACATACCCAAAGATGACGAAATAGATAGGCACCCTCTGGAAATGGCTTTAGAGGCCAGTGCCACCTTCACTATCACTACTTCGAACTGCCATGTCAGATTTTGTCGCGTTCAAGAACTTAAATTTAATATTTTAAAGGGTTAACACAAATATCTATTTATATTTTATGTCATTTTTAAAAATATATTTTATTCTACAGACTCCCTAATTGTCGCCATATCTCTTGCTTGTGTCCTGAGTTTCCTCACAATTCTACACATGGTGTCATCCTTTCGGTAACTGGATTGACCTTTTTATAGTTATTTTTGTTTTTATCAACAATGCGTTTAAGTACACGTTAATTCAAAGATGGGATTAAACCTCTTACTTTTAGTCTAGAAGAGCTATTTAAAGGTAAATGTAAATACTATAAAGTATATGAAAATTAACTAATTCGTCAACAACAATAATGAAATTTTTTCTTCACTTGGGGAGTTTTATTTGATTTTGTTTTCTCTTTCAAATATTATTTTCAGGACAAACCTTTTTGCCTTGTACAAAGGAGATTTTTCAGGCATTCCACCACCTATTACACAAGGGGCTGTATCTTTGTGCGTAAGTAAACACACAAAAAAAAGGGGGGGGGGGGCGACTAGATGTTACAACATTTCTCTTACTATTCATAATTCATGTCTTTTAATATAAAATAATACTAATGTCCTGTCTCTAGAGTAGTATGAGAATTGATTATTCCCATTAAATTTAACAGTGACATGTGTAGCATCTCAATAGAAGCCAAAATCCATGTAAATTAGATGTGTTATAGTTATGTTTTTATTCTTCTACTTTTTGGCCCAGAAGCAGTGCCTTAAATGTGCAGACCCCCCCCCCCCTTAATTCTTACACTTACACCAATGACCACAAAGTCATTATACACAAAACTTCATGCCATATAATATATTAACATCAACTTACATTGATTATAGTTATGTTTTTATTCTTCTACTTTTTGGCCCAGAAGCAGTGCCTTAAATGTGCAGCCCCCCCCCCCCTTAATTCTTACACTTACACCAATGACCACAAAGTCATTATACACAAAACTTCATGCCATATAATATATTAACATCAACTTACATTGTCCACACAGGTTGGCTGCATCAAGTTCGCTGGTTTCCAAGTCGGATACATACTATGGGGTAAATTGGCCCTTTAACTCCAATATTTCTCTCACTGCTGCCCAACACGGTGTTGAGGATAACATCGCGCCAGCTTTGTCCCTTGCTGGTGCCCCTGTCGGCATTAACGTCTTTATCAAAATTTTCTCCTAAAAAATTCAACTTACATGATAATTAACTTTGCACTCCCATAAATATAGTCGCCATCTTTCAACACATTTTAAAAAATACTTATATTAACATCGCTTTTGTTCATGTGTTTAAGGTAAAAATCTTCGGACGGCTAATTGACCCACTTACCGTCAACAAAAGGAGCTGAAACTTGGCACATAGAATCGTTGCCATTGACTACACATTCTAACAAACTTTTAGCCCTCGCCTCCCAAACACTAAACACCCCACCCTAAACTCCATTTGTCCTGTTTTTCAAGTGAAAGATGAAGGAAATATGATGTAACTAATTTCATCAAATAAAATTCCCAATAACTGTGCTAAATGAGATCCTTAAAACAAAATATCTCAAATGCGCTTGGAGCGTAATATTTTCTTTTGTTTTTCTTTAATAGTTGGTGAGGTAAATCTGCAGTGTAAAATCGGATGGGGCATTAGAATATTAATCAAACATAAAGATAATTTAAAATGCATATTAAGGATTTATGCGAAAATTTTTGTTTTTAACGGTTGTTTAATTAGCTTTAAAATCTTCTATCCCTTGTAATATAATCACCACAATCCTTTGATCTCACGTTATCTTGCATTCCGTGAATTCGCTTGTAATATTAGAATAATGTGTCATTTTAATATGTTTCACAAAATTCGTTTTTAAGTACTATTTTTTTATATGATATCAAACTTTTTTTTTACTATGAAGTTCTTTTACAAAGTTTGAAGAATATTTCTTTCTATCGTATGTAGAAACTCTCTTGGCAACTAATAAAGACAATGACAGGATACATATATCTCATATTAAGTTTTGAGGGTGGAGATTTGTGAATGCTATCCAGTTTTAGGGGGGATACAAAAATGTAAAAAAATTATGTGACAAAATTATAGCACATTGTATTTGATTTTTTTCCCTCAGGCTATATGTTGTCCCTTATAGTTTTCTTAGTCGTCGCTTTTATACTTGGTTCCATCATAACCTTGCTGTCGAATGCGGTGGTAGACTGGCTGGTCAACAAAGTGCTTCAGATATGGTTTGTACAAATTTCAATTATTTCTTTGGAAATCTGAACAGCAAAAATTGTTATTGTAATTTAAGATAATAATAAGATACGATTCTTTTATTAATCCAAATAAATAAATATTTTAAAAAATCAAATTGTACATATTCATTTCCAGCACATAAATAAATACATATTTAAAGACAAAATTTACAATTATAACAATTAAAAGATAAGACATCTTAAGTGTTTCTTTAGCTTATAAAATCATCCATCAATGAACTTCTTTAGTGACGAGTATGACTTAATTAGAAATTTAGAGTTGGTAGCCGCTGGGGAGGAACAGGTTGGTAAATTCATACAGACTGGGGAACAAAGAATTTTTTTAATCATTTGGTCATAGCTTTAAGAGAAGGAATTCGCCCTGATCGAGCTGAACCTAGTAAATAAATTGTTTGAATCTATGTATGCTTAATCTTTCCATTTTTTATCCAGTGTTCGAAACATAATTTATGTATTTAAATTATTGTATTACAATTCTCTTCATGTATCTGTTTGGAACTAATGCTAAGAGAGAAAATCTTTGACAACCCGATTCATTCTCAGAATATTTAGTGGCATCCCCTTTTAAAATTTAAGTGACACTTTTTCACTTTAATAAGTCATAGGTTGTTTTTTGTTTGGTTGTTTGTTTGTTTTTTGTTTTTTAAGTTCTTAGAAAATTACGAGTTTTGATGTCGAGCTGAAATCACAAATATTATTTTTTCTTTTAAAGAAAAAAATCTGTCGTTTTTATATACTTTTTTTCAAAAATAATTTTGTTAGATGTATAATAGTGTCTGTATGACATATTTCAATACAAAATTTTAAAGGAAAAAAACCAACTGTTTCATACGTAGGTAACCACAATGATCGTTAAATATTATATTTAACATGTTTTGCTTACCCGAGACACAGTAGGCCCTACGTCTTTGGGCCGATATTCCCGCATTAGTGACATCAATCCCCCAATTCAAAGAGCATTCATTAAGCAAGAACAGTGATACTAAGATGACCATAACTTAATGTTAAATTTTTTTTTAAGAAACGCTAATTGGAATAAAGGTTTTCCCCAGTGATTGGTGGGTGGGGGTAAGCAGGATATTGTTATTTTCTTCTTATGGTCCAAACACTATAGTCAATTAAGGAATGCATCTTCTTCCTAATCATCATTGTAAATTATTACATTTTATATTACGAAATTTTGACCTACTCAATTATTCTATTCTTCAGGCCAGGTGTTCTTATAGGTATAGCTATCCTGATCCTCCAGAAGTTGCTGGCCAGATATGTGTTTCTGCAGGGTGATGGTGCTCACCTGAGGTTGGACAACAGGTATTGGACTTTTAGTTGTGTTGTATAATGTGACAACATGCATTGGATAAAATGGTATGTTGTATAGTATGACAACGGTCTTTAAACTTAACGTCGTGTTTTTAGTATGATGAGTGGTATTGTACACTAACTTGTCTGGTATAGTAATGACAATTTATAGAACTAAAAGATGTGATCTTTATGCTGACAACAAGTACTGAACTGATTGGGGTATACTATTATGTGGCAACAAGTTTTGGACTATTTGGTTGTGATATAACAGGTATCGGACTAAAAGGGGCATTCTATTGTGTTACAACATTTATTGGACTAAATTTTTAGTTCTACAGCCTGACAGCAGCTATAATAGAATAATAAATAAGAGGCTCCGAATATTATGTTAAAAAGATTTCGCTAGTAGAAAAAAAAACACCAAAAAAATAATATTATAAATTAAAAATAAGAACAAATTTAAGAACACAACGTGCTAGCTGTCAGTGAGGCGGCTATCGTTGGACAACTTCCACGACGTTCAACCCACGTTTGAATGCCCCCGTATACCTAATCTGAATATATACATTAGGAAATTGCGAAGAGCGAGCGTTCAAACAAAAGTGATCCAATATCTGTGATACAAACTACAAAAGTAAAATCATCTCGGGAGAACCCCCCCCCCCCCCACACACACACGCACATTTTTATTTTTCAAGCCCGAAAGGTCACCGAAACATTGTTGGAGATCTCCTCCTTCTAAGACAGCCCATGCCCGTAAATTCACTGGACTGAGTAGCCATCTCAATCTAAGGCCAATCCATCCGCCAGTGATGTTGCTCTCATAATATCAGCAGTCGACTTCTTCTTCTTCTGTATCTTAAGGGCCCACGATCAATTTATTGATCATTTTGGCTCCTATGCATGTAGATGGGATTTGCAATGTTTCTGTTACTTACTCAGGGGTCAGGATGGTAATTGTACGTCCTAATATTTCCCATCCCGTGAGTGAAGCGTCGCACTCCCTCTAATCGTGATTTCCACAGTGGGTTTCTACCACACTAATAGCTCACTAAGCAGCTGGGGCAAAAGTTTGTGTTGGAAAAATAATTATTTAAAGAAATAAGAAGAAGATCTGAAAACCCAATGTGCAAGCTGGGAGAGACGGGGTACTCGAAGGACTGCTTTCAAGACATTCAATCCCCGTTCGAATACTGCCATATCCCTCAACGTATGCAATTGATTGCTTATCAGATTAATGATTACAGAGAATACCACGGATTGCAATTTGATTACACATACTTTAAGGTAATGTAGTATCATTTTTTGGGGGGGAGGAGGGGGGGGGGTGTTCTGATTGCTTCATCCTGACGGAAGTTACAGCAGAATATTCAGGACCTCGTTATCGTGATATGTTGCTATTGGAATATAGTTTGATGCGCTTCGGAAATCAAGCTAAAGATTAAATTATTTATATTGGAATATCCCTCAAGAAAATTCATCAAAGTCAATACTCTTGTTCCTGTCAGGTCAGCTGTCAAGTTTTCAACATGATGAGCTCCACTTACATGATTTTGACTTCATCCCCACCCCAACCAAAGATCACAGATTTATATGTCTACTAGTGCTACATTACAACCCTAAAGAACAAATGGAAAGAGTTGTTTTATTTTTCACTTCCTATTAAATTCATAACTATTTTCTTTGTCAGACGACTCTTCTTCATCTTCACGTACTTCATGTTCTTCTACAACATCTTCCTGGGACTGGTCTCCTGTTTGCTCAGAATCATCAAGGCAATAGTCGTCGGGACCCTCTTCCTGTGCCGTCTGGACAGAAGTACACTGCCGAGGAATTGGGAATCTTTTGATCCAGGTAAAATATTGCGAACTAACAAGAAGCTGAAGCTGAGAACATTTCTCGCTTATAAGGATATCCAGTCTTAAAGAGCATGAGATAATCTTATGAATAACAACATTTATTTCGTCTTATTTCGGAAGCTCTGCCTTTGCTGTGAACACGTTTTCTATTCATTCTACGAGTGGTCTAACTTGTTACAGCCCCATTCCAAATATTAGTTAGTTATCAAGAAATAAGTATTTGTAATAGACTTTTACAAAATGCAATCAAAATTATTTTTAAAATTATACTCCCCTTTACTTTTACTAGCCAGCAGCATCAGCTGCTATAAAATAGAAGTCATAAAGAATTTTTGTTAGCTTGGTACGTATCTGCCACGGACGATATGGACAGGGAAATAATCCATGTTAAAATTTGGTAATATAATATCACTTTTAGCACTTTTGTCCCTTAATGAAACCACACACACAATATTTCATTTAGACTTCAATTACTGTACATTTGAAAATGCCTTAATTTGAAAAAGGACATTCACACAAAAAAAAAAGTAATAATTATTTCTTTTTTTTGAAATTTATTTTAATGACAGTACATTTTTTAGTGTTGCACCTGTTTCTGGCATCACATACAATACATGGCTCACTATATTTACTCAATCCAATTATAAATATTCATGTCAGTGATTTCAATGCTTGGTTAATGATGTTCTTTGTTATTCGAACAAAGGACAAAAAAAGTGATTGTTGATTTGTTACATTCAACTATTTTTGCAAAGATTTGATAATAATGTTATTCCTAATTGACAGGCTGATTGTTTAATGACGGCAGAGGGGCTGACTGGGGGGTCCCTAAAACATAGTGTAAAATATCATACATTGTCACAAATAATTATTTCTCTGTCCTATGTTTGTGACTGGTAATAAACTTGAAATAAATTAAAAATGAATAACCTGTTGTTGTCAGGTTTCAATACCTACCAGGGTTACATCCACATGGAGGCCGCGCACACCAATCCCACAGTAAACGTTTTCCTCCGACTGTTGAAGTCTCTGAGCCAGTCGAGGAAGTCCTCGGGTCAAAGCAGCAGTGTGTCTCTAGAGATGACCAACCTGGGAAGTTACAATCAGCTGGAGAATGACGGGGAAAGCAGTGAGTTACCACATTTAGTCATCATATCCCCCCCCCCCCCCCCCCCCCCCCCCCAAACACACACACAAAATTTTTAAAAAAAATTAAGTTTTAAAAAAAAAAAAAAAACGTGTGGGTAAGACTCTAGTATTAATTTACAACAGCCATCTGTTTTCTGAGAAAAAATGTGGTCATTATGATCACGTCTTTAAGAAACTAGTTAGTGTCTTAAAATGTAATTGCGGTCGCTTCCTCTGACATCAAAGTCAAAAGCTTAATATCACACTGATTGCATTAGCATTAAAATTGTCAGTGTCATTGTGTTCCATGCAATTCCTATGCTGTTTAGAACTATTTATAATTGGAATATAAGCAGCATCTTTTATTTACGATTTCAGTCTCTCTTAATGTATTCCCCAGTCAAATACCCAGCCATAAGAGGAACAACCAATCTGGCAGCACGTTTCAATTGGCACGTGGCCTACACACTGTTGCTCAATCCTGGGGTGGGTATTCACGGACCTTTTACTTTACAATATAATATATTAAACAATCTTTGTTATTTGAGTTGACCCTTGCAACAGAGGTGTTGATTTGAAGATCTTATTTAATCATTTTGTAAAACTATGTTATTGTTTAGTTGTATTAAACTTTGTCGATAGATGATATTGTGGCGGAGGGGAATTTTCTACCACCCCAAAATCAGGCATGAAAGGGTTAACTGGAAATATTACAAATGATAATGTATCTTCTGTTGGGCATCTGGCCGTCGACTTCAACATCAAGACATAACAGTGCAAGCTTATTATTTTCAGATTTGTCCGCTTCTGACATATAATATATTGTCATAATATGCTCTCTTAAAGCTACTCTTATGTTAAATTTACCATAATATTCTTTAATCAGTGGTACAGCGTCTATTTTTTTCAATTCCGATTTACCAAGACGCCGATGATCCAAACTGCCCCCTGTTTTAAAATGTATATCATGATATAATGCAACGCACATGGCACAATCCACGTAACATCCAGATACGACTGCATGCACTTACCAGAACGGGATAAAGCGATTGGAACACTTTTAAAAAAAAATAATAAATATCGCAGAATAAACGCCTGGAAAAACAATATGACTTCGGATTTTGTACTAAGCGCAGCTCTCTATTTTTAGATCTGAAACAAAATTCAAGTCTTCACCGGTTTTTTTCTTCTTTACAAAAACATCTATCAGCTGACCCCGATATCGATACGTTATGGTAAAACACTCTAAGCCATTATCATAAGACATTAGACGTTTGGCAATTAAAAACAATCCCTGCTAGGAAGTGTTCCGTTATCATAGAAAATAGGGAATCTGATTGATTCCAAAGCGCGAATATTTCAGATAATGGACTCTATACTGGATGATATATTGGTGAGTTGTAACTTATTTTAATAACTACGTTAATCTCTCACTCATTTGCAGGTAAGGATCTATAGGAAAGGATTTATTCAGTCCATGAAGAAGGCAATGATCCTCGGAATAAAGATACCCATCAGCGACACGCCCGTGACGGATTTTGACTTGGTCAAACTGGAGGCAGAGAGAGAGAAAGAGATCGAGGAGGAGAAGGAGGCGAAGAAGGCACAAAAGACGCAGAACGGCAAGCAGGAGAATGGATCGGTCTTCCATAACATTTTAAACAGAAAACGTGTCTCCAACATTGATTCGACAAAAAATGTATAATTCTTTCAGTGAATATTGTACAATAAATGCTCTCCCATTGAATAATGAACCAAAAATGATCTCCCTGTGAAAAATCTGCAAAAATTGTATAGTTCTCACAGTGAATAATGTACAAAGATGTAACTGTATTTATGTATTACTACTTATAATAATATCTTGGGTAAAGAAAAATTATTATTTTTCAAAACAATGGTCATTTAAGGGTAATAAAACTTTTATTCTTATTTTTATTGTGTTAATGTTGATTATCAGACATAACGGAGGCTAATTTTACGTGTATTTCCATATGTTAAATGATGTTTTATTAAGCTGTAACAATTCAATTTTTGAAAATGTTATATCAACGTAATTTCATGAATTATGAAAACCAGACAAGCTAGGCCACATATTGCTCATTTGATGTGTATGCTTATGCAAGATTGTTTGAAAATGACTAAAGTAATTTCATGCATTAGCTGGATTCAAGGATATTGATGGGACCATGAAATAAGATTAGGCCTACTTAACTATGTTAACATCTTTATTAGATCACTCAATGACTTAATGATGCCACATTTCATAGCTTTTCATAATTTTCATACAAAAATAGTTCTAGGTGTTAACGAAATAGTATGATGTGAATATACATTTTATTTTACTTGGAAAAGATTTCAAGTGTATTGCTGAGTTATCCTCTTAAAGAAAACCAAACTATTTTTCGGTACGCATGAGGAGTTACTATTTTTTAACAAGTTATCTAAAATAATAATTTAATATATATATATATATATATATATATATTTAAACTGAAAAAAAAAATATATATCAGTTTGAAGCTCATGGTTACATAAGTTTACCCATACTCCAAACACATTAGAATGGGAAAACAGAGGATGCCGTTTTGCTTGCAACAAATGAAATTCAGGTTTTCCTGTTTTTAAGATACAGATAAGGGGCAAGGATAAAGAGGGGGCAAATATTTATGAGGGTAAACTATGTGTTTATATTAAAAATTTAGTGTAAATACAAACATGAAAGTATAATTCAAGTGCGAAAGAAAGAGAGTGGAAATGTGGATAACAATGTCACAAAACCCAATCATTTTACACACATGAAAATCGTATTATTTTTAAAATATAAACATTTGTTTTCCCTTTTAGTTACAATACATCAAATTCTGTTAATGTTAAAGATATTTAAAATGTTGTATAAATGTTTTGTCATAAATTTAAGGACATGCTTTAACAATTTATATTTATATATATTTTGAAATTATTATGTTTTTGTTGTTGTAGTTCAGGGGTGTGAAAAATAAGTAGGGGAGACCAGTTGCGTAGCCAGGGTTGGTGTAACATTATACAGCAGATAAATATTTCTCAAAATTAAATAATGTTAGAAACTTGAACATCGATGCCTAGATACTTAAATCAGGGAACGTCTGATCAACTATTTCCTAAATATGTATTTCAAAGGCATGGAACATTGTCTACTTTTTTTTTTCAGCTGTACATTTAAAAATGTAATTGTTATATGTCGAGACTTTGCAGTAACAGGTAGAATATATTGCAAAATACATTACATAAATATCCTGGTAACTTCGGGTCACATCTTCTAGTATATTTTGTGCGACCAGAGAAGTAAGACAAGTTAAGCTTAAAGAAATGCAATTTTAAAAGGAGAAGCTTGATGAGTTGTTTCATTTAATTATTATGCATTTCAAAATGATTGTGACACAACAAGTTACTTTTTAGGGTGGCGTAAGTGGGTGCACGCATTCCCCCCTCCCCAACAGCTGCAAATGTTTCTTTAGTATGGCCCGCGAAGCTATCAATATGCAATAAGTTTTTTTTTATAACAGACCATATGTTTAATCTCTCACCGTGACCAAAATAGGTGTGTGGAGATTGGGACATGCCGATAAAATCAATGAGAAATAAATGGGAGCCAGCACCGCACGAGCGATAACAAACTGATCTTTTGGAGGAGATGGGCTCAAATTTTACTACAAATCCGGCTACTGCAAACATGTTGTGATTTTCATCGGTCAACCAATTACACTAGTCTTGGCAATAGCTGCTATGTAGTAATTGCCTGGTAGTGCAATCTGTTCAACCTCCCCCACACACACACAAACGCACTACCGGTGTTATACCAGGGCACAGAGAGATTCTCATCCCCGCCCCTCCCACGCAATCGCCGAATAACATGATGCTTGGCATAGATTTAGGTGACCATTACTGCATTGGCCACTTAGTAGCCTTGAGGTGACAGAAGTACGGACCGCTATTGGCTAATCCCTGACCAGTGAGACGAAAACACGGAAACCACACACCTTCATGTTGCGCATAGCATTGGGGGTGGGGGCGTGTGTGTGTGTTGGTGGTGGGGGGGGGGGGGGGAATGAAATATGTTTCCATGACATCATGAGGGCATCATAAGCCTCATCATAGATGACTGAATCCCGAAGAGGTGATGGGTACGGTCGAGAAATGATGGGGCTTTCTGTTTCCTTTGTGTAAGAATTATTTTTAATGTATTTTTATTATTATTTTTTTTAAAGAGTGTTATGTCCATAGGGAATAAGTAATGAAGAAATTGTTTGAGAATAATCCTGTAATAAATATCACCCTTTAACCTACATTTTCTATGGCTTAATTAATTTATGCTCATGTTTTGAGTGATATGAGACGATTTTGCAAGCTTTTATCAATATACTTGTGAATTGAGCAAATAAAAAAAATGTGATGTTATTTTGCAAACACGTGTTACTTGATGTGTAGTGCTACTTGGTGTGTGGTGCTACTTGGTGTGTGGTGTCACTTGGTGTGTGGTGCTTCTTGGTGTGTGGTGCTACTTGGTGTGTGGTGCTACTTGGTGTGTGGTGCCACTTAGTGTGGTGCTACTTGGTGTGTGGTGTCACTTGGTGTGTGGTGCTTCTTGGTGTGTGGTGCTTCTTGGTGTGTGGTGCTTCTTGGTGTGTGGTGCTTCTTGGTGTGTGGTGCTTCTTGGTGTGTGGTGCTACTTGGTGTGGTGTCACTTGGTAGTGTAGATAGTAGGGGCTTGGTTTTTTTTTTAATGTTGTTTTTTTTCGAAGTAGATACCCAAAATCTGAATTAAACATATTTTAGCGTTCATAAAAAGTAATACTAATCTGTAGCGCCGGATTAACCTAAAGGCACATGCCTAGGGTCCCACGCCTTTTAGAGGCCCCACACCTTTGAGGGGCCCCGTTCCATTTTTTTACGGGGGTGGGAGACTTGATTTCATCTTTATCTTGAACAGAACGTATTTGTTATAACGTAATGTGTGGTACTGATACGCATCTCATACATCTCGTTACGTAACAGGTTCTAGATTTAGGGGGTGGGGGGTGAGAAAGTCGTAAACTTATCCTCAGAAGATAATATTCAAAAGAGGATTTTGAGAGACGGACGTCTTTTGGCGAGAGATGGAACGAATAGAATAAAAAGTACAATGCCAGCTAATTGAGTTGGTGATTTAATGCGATCCAAAAATTTGAGATAACAAAACGTTAATTCGTTCTTAAAGCGGTATATTTGTTTTGAGGAAATGCAGAACTCAACATCAGGGCACTGAATAATTCTGAAAATATATATTTTCATATCTGATTTTTATTAGTTCTATTAATTTAAATTTTTAAAAAGAGTGTGGGACGTGCTTCATATTCTAATGTCCTCAAAGATTACACACCCCTGTAGCATATTTGAATATTCTCACAAATAACCTGCCCCTGTAGCATATTTGAATATCCTCACAAATAACCTGCCCCTGTAGCATATTTGAATATCCTCACAAATAACCTGCCCCTGTAGCATATTGGAATATCCTCATAGATCACCCGCCCCGGTAGCATATTGGAATATCCTCACATACCATAAGCCCCTGCGTTATAATTTAATGTTTTTGTTGAGTATGGGAGTTCATTAATAATTGTTGCGACTGGATATTATGCTTGATTACGAGCGATTTTTTTTTTGGAGAGATTAATTAGTTAGTGGACGCTCTTCCAGCGCTTTACTTGGTGGTGTATTTTTATGCTCACTGCGACGTATTGTCTCGTCTGTTTTGTGACGTACGTTTTATTCGTCTGTCAGTCTTGAAAGGAATTTTGTGAAAGGAGGCTGTGTTTTATTTCTGTCTTATAGCGAGCTGCGCTATATTCATGTAATTAACAGTCTGTGTATACAATTAGGTATTTAATTTACATTTATTGTGATAAAGGACTTGAGTCTATTCAGTGCTAGAACGACGTAACACAACATAGAAGGCCCTGGGCACAGCAGTGCACTGCGGCCCCCTAGTAACACAACACCAATGTTCCATTTAAGCTGCGCGGCAGCAAACTCACAGACGCCGCGCAGCAGTTTTGAGTACCGCGCAGCAGTTTTGAGTACCGCGCAGCAGTTTTGAGTACCGTGCAGCAAATTTCCATGTAAGTGAGTGTTTGTGGGCTGTAAAATTTTGTACACAAAAAAATTGATGCTGTAAAACTTTGCACACAACTGTATGATTTTGCACACGAACCAACAAACCTTAGAGGGAACATTGGCATTGCACAACACACCTGGATAGTGAGAAGGGGGGCACTCGCCCCATGCTGAAATCTTGGGGTGGGGGGGGGGGAACAGTTCATGCTCCCCACCAACTCACCAAGAGGAATAAAAATGTAAAATAAACATTCAATAAAGTTAAGTTAAACTTCGATGAATTCAATTTTTTTATACAACTAACAAAATCATTCAAAATCAATAATAGTTTTAAAACTTTATCAGAAATAAACTATAAATAGTCGCAGAGGTTGATAAATTATCATTTTTGACAATAGATAGAATAAATTAAATCTAAATCAACATATTTGCCTAATTTTAAAAAAAAAAATTTTCGATTCATATCTGGGGGAAAAGTAAAGCTTCTTGATGAGAGTTATTCCCCTTTAAAAGTTTAAAATTGTCCAACTTTAATTCGCATTTATAATATTAATTTTGGAATGTGCTGATGTATATCGTGGTATAAACCAATCTGGTATAAACTTGAGTTTGACAGTCCTCACATATCATCTGTATCTGCCTCTGATTGGACTATCCTCACCCATCATTAGCCCCTGCCAAGTTTGCATTTTGACTAAAAGATAAACATGTTAACAGATCTCGTGTTTTGGATAATTATTTTCTCACAATCATAACACGGTTTCAATAAATATCGTTGTTATGATTATGATCTGCTCCGTATCTGCTCATTGTACACGGTGTTCAATTAAAAAAAAAACACCAAATCATCGGTGTTTAATAACAACTATACCAACTCAAAGACAGAGAGAGCTTATGGCAATTATTGCTCACACCGACCATATTTCTATTTTTATTGCTGAATGGTTAGATAAGGATGATGTTGACTTGTCTGGTGTATCAGTTCCACAAGATGAAAATTATAAATCAATTACTTTACAATATGCCCATCAAGGGCGTGATTTCAGGCTTTTTTTCGTGGAAAAGGAGGTGGGGGGGGGGGCGCACAACTAAAACTTGTTTGGCTTGTTCAGTTGTTGATTACTGGATTTGCCACAGTACATAGCGATTTAAATAAAAACCAGCAAAATTGGGGAGGGGGCGAATGCCCCCTGACTGCCCTGCCCTACCCAAATAATGTCCCTGATGCCCATTGTTACCATACAGCAACACCTGGCGACTCAATGGGAAGGTGACAGCAGCTAGAAACTATGCTATAATTGT